GGCAGGCCCAGGGTGGATTCGAACCTGCCACCTTAGGTGTATGTGGCTGGCACCCTAGCCACTTGAGCCACAGGTGCTGAGCCCTGGGACTGGGTTTGAACCCACCACCTCTGGCATATGGGGCCAGTGCCCTACTCCTCTGAGCCACAGACGCCACCCTATTTATTTATTTTTTTTTTAGAGACAGAGTCTCACTTTATCACCCTCGGTAGAGTGCCATGGTGTCACAGCTCACAGCAACCTCCAACTCCTGGGCTTATTCCAATTCTCTTGCCTCAGCCTCCCAAGTGGCTGGGACTACAGGAGCCCACCATAACACCCATCTATTTTTTTGTTGCAGTTTGGCCAGGGCTGGGTTCAAACCCACCACCCTACCCACTGAGCCACAGGTGCCACCCCAATATATTGTATTCTTGAATTGCAAAGGTAATGGATGTTTTATTCGTACCACAAAAATTATAACTATATGAGGTTATGCATTTTTAATTAGCTAGATTTAACTATCTCACAATATATCATGTTGTATATACTAAATACATAATGAAAAGAATAAACTCTATACCCATTAAACAATAACTGTCCATTCTCCACTCCCCCAGTCCCTGGCAACCACCATTCTATGTTATGTTTTTATGAATTTAGCCACTCTAGGCACCTCATGTGAGTGGAATCATGTAATATTCATCCTTTTGTGACTCGCTCAACTCACTTAGAATAGTAATTTCAAGGTTCTGGCCAGGCGCAGTGGCTCACACCTATAATCTTAGCACTCTGGGAAGCTGAAGTGGGAGGATCCCTTGAGCTCAGGAGGTCAAGACCAGACTGAACAAGAGCGAGACCCCATCTCTTCTAAAGATAGAAAAAATTAGCTGGGCTTGGTGGTGGGCTTCTGTGGTCCCAGTTACTTGGGAGGCTGAAGCAGGAGGATCAGGAGTTTAAGGTTGTTGTGAACTAGGGTGATGACACGGCACTCTAGCCTGGGGAACAAAGTGAGACTCTGCCACACACACACACACAAAAACTATAATAATTATAATAATAATTTCAAGATTCATCATGACCCAACTCTGAAAAGAACATTGCCAAACTGAGGTTAACACATATTTAATCAAATGCCTATAGACTACAACATACTGTTGCAAAGGATTTCTCAACCTTTCTCTTGCTCTTTGGCATATTAATGACATTGAAAATGTCATTTGGAGCATGAAGTGAGGAAGGTGCATACCAGCTCACCCAGGCCTGGGCAAAGGGAAGTTAAGCAATTCCCTAGGGAGGAATGGGAACCATAGCTCAGAGATGGGCAGCTTCTGACCCAGGGTCACACAGCCCTGAGGCTCCAAGGGTCTGGAGGCTCCACCTCCTTAAGTTCACACGTGCTTGTGTGAGGTTCCAACTCTAGCCACAGTGCTAACCCCAGGCTGCCTCCTCTTTCTGACTTCTCAGGAAAAGCCAGAAAACAAAACACAAAATACCACAAGTCAGGAAGCATCCATCATGTGCTGTCCAGCCCAGGCCGGAGGGGCAGGGGTCAGCAGGGGGCTGACCTCAAGGTCTCCATGGGGACCAGGATCCGGCGGGGTTGAGGGTGAGAGGCTGGAAATTTTCCCACCCTGAGATTTTCCTGCGTCAACCCAGGAGGGCGCCCTGGATGCCGCCAGCCCTGCCCCCAACCTCCTTCCTCTCTTGACACGGCTTCCCGGCTAAGGATGGATGGGGAGGGTGTGCCAAGATGCAACTGCCAGGCTCAGGAAAGGACAGGCACATTGGGATTGACACCATGAAGGACCCTGGCTCAGAGCAGCCAAGGGCCTGCCTGGGAGCCACACAGCCCAGAATCTTAGTGCACAGGCATCACTGCCGCTCCTGCTCCACACAGCCTCCCGATGTCGCCACTGTCTTGCCAAAGAGTTGGAGCCCAGCCCGGCCTGGGGAGTGTGAGTAGCCCTGGCCCTGGGCCCTGCCCTGGCCCTTCCTCCCCCACACACTCAGGCCTCAGCCCTTCCTTGTGTTAAATAGAAACCTCTTTATTCTAAGTATCGAACATTCCTTAATACATTGGATTGGGGCCAGACCTTGAGGTGAGGGGAAAAGGGGGAGGGCTGGGATATTTCTGTAGAGCCTTCCAGAACACCACACACCACACTGGGCTATGGAGGGGGGTGGTGCTGGGAATGGGCCCTGTGGCCTTGGGAAAGTCCTTGCTCCTTCTGGCTTCTGTTTTCCTTCTGTATAAGGACTATGGGTTGGGTGAGAATACCTCTAAGGGTCTTCCCATCCCAGGGGTCTGTGGTCCCAGGCAAGGAGTCAGGAGGAGGCCACAAGGAAGGGTGGCTTGTCAGCAGCAGAGATGGGGGCACCTAGGTGGAGGGCTGGGAGAGCCTCAGCGTTGGGCCCGGGGCCGTACTGGAGACGGAGGCCTGGGCCAGGGCAGACAGGCCAGATTAGGCCTGGCCAGTCGGGAGAGGGGGAGGTGGCCCAGGAAGAGAGGGAGGCCAAGGCAGAAAGATGGGCGGGGAACAGGGATGTCTGCGAAGAAGGCATGGTCTCTAGGAGGTGACAAGGCTCCCCCCTCTGACAGTTCCAGGTCCCGGGCCACGGCCAGGATCTCCTGGCGGGCAGCTGTGTTTCGTAGGCCACGGACATCGAGGAGGGCTGCCACATGCTTGCGCCTGGGGGTGGAGGAATAGACAGGGGCAGGGGGTCCTTGACTTCAGATGTACACCCGGCCCATGCATGACCCCACCTGACCCCACCTGACCCCTGCTCTCCCCTGCCTCAGCTCTGGAATTCCTTTATGCCATCCAGATCCTTCCCTGAAATTAGATCCCCCTCTCAGGCCCTCACCTCATGCCAGCTCCCCTCCAAAACTTCTCTTCAGCCATTTCTAAA